AATCGAATTTTCGACCCTTGCCGCGAAATTAAGAATTTGTCTGATTTTTACAGGCAGGCACTCTTAAACATTGGCAAACACTTGTGGACCTTGCGCGTTCTGGAACGGTCCGAGTTGCACCTTTTCACAAAATGAAGGTTCTGGCTCTGCTGAAGAAGTAGGAGACTGACTAGAACTGTCGGTCACATTTTCTGTTTTGCGTCATTTTGCACTGCTTAGCTGCAGATTTCTTCGCTGTGTAAGGCGTAGTTATTGCGTGAGAGTGTTGTCTTGCGTGTCAAAACCATAAAATTTCTTTATCTGCAGCGTTTGGATCGTGAATTTGTGGAGTTACTGAAGGCGCTAAGGATGTCATATTTTACTGCTCTGTGGGTATAAGCAATGTGTAATATTTATTGCAACACTTCTGCTCTCTTGTGGCCGCCACCATGTAGGAACACGCGAGTACGAGCGAGCGACGTGAATCCTTAAGAAGACTTAAGCAGCTAACTACAGTTAATAAAACTATTTTCTGTAATTCAATGGCAGCACGTATTTTAATACATTTAAAAACGTGTGGCTCCGAGGTAAAGCACACATAATTTTGTCACACAGCCAGCTGGAATATATATACTCGCTGTGAGCTTGGTGGATAGACGAGCAAACGTCTCGAGGAGTCAGAGGCTCATCGCATTCATCCACACATAGTTACATGTTAAGTCTTTCAAACAACTACTGACATTGACCGGTAACACATGTGCTGACTGCAGTATCAATCGAACCCTCTTTCGAAAAGTTCAAGTATATTTCATCGTATGACGTTGGGGCATTACTTCGGAAAGTCGATATGTCGGAAAAACGATATTGGTCGTTAACATATTGATTTGTTTACATCTGAATGAGTGAGAAATTGGCATCGTTAGAGTTTCTACGCTCGCGTATCCACGACTAAAAATGAAAGGAATGCTTCCTTTTACATAGCCAGCACGCTGCAGAATGCACGACACAAAATGTTCATTGGGAAGTTTTGCAGGACCTTTTCAAGGTTTTTTTTTTCCATGCCATTAATTTTGTTTCCCCATTTTACTTTCTAAAAGGGTAAACTTTGTAACAAGTTGCATCTTATCATGATAGTATCACAACAGTCTAGAATAAACAATAGGGGTCACCGAGCTTGTTTTTGAGTCATAAGCAGTTAAAGCTAAAATTAAGTGTGTTTTTAACAGTTCATACTG